GTATTACTCTTACGAGAAATCGTATGAATGTAACAAATTATAATACAACTTGATGTATTGATCTTAGTATTCTGTTTTCTAATCAAATTTCACAAATATGCATATATGGACCTTGAATCTAACTTTTTTTTCCTTCTCTTATATTTTTAAAAATAGGTCTACTACCAAATGGTGACTTCGAATTCGGACCACGACATTCGGACATGAAAGGAACACAAGTTACGAACAAAACATCAATCCCTAATTGGGAACTCTCAGGCTTCGTAGAGTACATTCCCTCGGGACACAAACAAGGCGACATGATCCTTGTCGTGCCTAAAGGCGCTTTCGCAGTGCGCCTAGGCAACGAAGCCTCGATCAAACAAAAAATCAACGTTAAAAAAGGGCTATACTATTCGATCACGTTCAGTGCGGCTCGAACATGCGCACAAGACGAGAGGTTAAACGTTTCTGTAGCTCCTCACCACGGAGTAATGCCGATCCAAACAGTATATAGTAGCTCGGGTTGGGATTTGTATTCATGGGCGTTTAAGGCACAAAGTGACTCTGCAGAGATTGTGATACATAATCCAGGTGTTGAGGAAGATCCTGCTTGTGGACCACTTATTGATGGTGTTGCTATGAGAGCTCTTTATCCTCCTCGTCCCACCAACAGTGAGTGTTCTTTTTCTTGTCTAAATTATTACCAATTGTGGAATTATTACTAATTTGGGGTTTCTTTCGAAATAAAGATATTCTTGTGTGTCAAAATTATAACCTAGTGTTAGGGTATTTGTAATTTGATTTATGTGTGTCTATCCGACTTTTAGTTGTATGTTTTGGTTTCGATTTTCCTTGTCAACATGGATTTTATCGAGTTTGGTTATTGATTTTTATTGTATTCGTCGACATCAGTACAAACCATTAAATTAAATGTTCTCGTTCAGATTTTTCGGTTTTATGAAACAGAGAAATTGAATGATATTTAGAAAATTTTCAAAAATATTATGACTACAAACTAATTATTTTTTACGATTTTCTTTTATTTTCTCTTCGGTTTGGTTTATAATTTGTTTTCGTCTGGTTCAAATCTGTTAATCCACATTATACATCTTAAATCAAATTATTGCAGAAGTGGGGTTTCGATTCAGAGCAAAATATTCTTTGTGGGTCAAATACAGAAAAATCTAAAACTTGTTGGGTTTTTTTTGTACGCAGAGAACATTTTAAAAAACGGAGGATTCGAAGAAGGTCCCTGGGTTTTACCAAACACATCATCGGGAGTTTTGATCCCACCAAACTCCGTCGACGATCACTCTCCGTTACCGGGATGGATGGTCGAATCTCTCAAAGCCGTTAAATACATTGATTCCGATCATTTCTCCGTTCCTCAAGGCCGTCGCGCAGTCGAATTAGTCGCCGGAAAAGAAAGCGCCGTCGCACAAGTCGTCCGTACGATCCCTGGTAAAACCTACGTCCTCTCATTCGCCGTCGGAGATGCGAGCAACGCATGCGCCGGATCTATGATCGTCGAAGCATTCGCCGGAAAAGACACGATCAAAGTACCGTACGAATCGAAAGGGAAAGGTGGATTTAAGAGATCGTCGTTGAGATTCGTCGCTGTTTCGGATCGGACTAGGGTTATGTTTTACAGTACGTTTTACGCCATGAGAAACGACGATTTCTCGAGCTTGTGTGGGCCGGTGATCGACGATGTTAAACTTCTCAGTGCTCGGAGGAGGCAGTGAGGTTGCGACGGCGAGTTTTACACCGGAAAACGATGACACATTGAGAAGTTGGGCTTCTCATACTGTTTTTTTTTTTGGAGAAACAAAAAAAATGATCGGAAGATAAAAGTTTTATGATTTTAACGTTGATGTTTCATCTACTCCAAAAATCCAATGTTCTAAAAAGCGGTCTAGACGATCACGTAGACCCCAACTAAACGCTAGGCGCTCGGACAACGCTTGATGACCGTCTAGACCGTGTTAACATCACCAGTGTGTTACCATTCGGGTTTATACAACTCCGATTCAGATCTCTATAATGCATTTTGCTATTAAAATGCTAAAACATAAATTATTGGCTTTTGAAATAAACAACATTACATGCCTCGTCGAGAGTTTTACCGGTTTCATCATGTTTCCATAGTAACCCAAAATTCATGTTTCCATAGTAACCCTGAAGACGTATTGCTCCTCTCTACTTGGTAGCCAGACAAAAGCAAGAAGCAAAATCCTAAATTTCATCTCACCAATACCCTTTACAAGTGCAAACACCATCTTCCATATGGTGAAATCTCTTTGAATCTCGCGAAGTCAACCTTCTCCCAACTATCTTGGACATCATCTCCAATGCGTTATGGCAATCAATGCAAACACGCAAATTCTTCATCACTGTTATTGCAGAACGCGCAGGACTGTCGAGCATTCCCTTGATGAAAGCAATTCTCTCGCTGTGATTTAAAAGGTTTTCCCCTTTGCTCTCTTGGTCCACGTCGTGTAATGCAAGTTTAAACTCGGGTGCATAACCAATTTCTATTATATGCTCCTTTAACCCCTTTAATGCGATATATAAATCTCTGTTCTCCAGACGAGAAGTATCTCCAGCCGAATATTTACAAATAAAGTTTCTGCCTCTCGCCATTCTCTGTAATCTCTCTTTTGCAATGTCTGATAAATTAACCGCTACAAGACCCGCCTTTGATTCACTGTTTAGTCTACTTGCATCAAGATGCTCAACCATATCTTGACACCGGTCACCGAGCTCTAAATCCCCGTGAATCCGTGAAAGATTCATTAATGTTTCCCATAATTCAACATTTGGTTCCATCGATTCGACAAATCCCAAGGCTTCATCTAAATAACCAGGTCCCGCCAACATTTTAACGAGGCTCACGTAATGTTCCATAGAAGGGATGATTCCGTAGTCTTTGATCATCGACTCAAAGTGCAATAGTCCCTCATCAATGTCACCAAGAACACCACACACAAAGAAAATCTCTTTAAATATTTCACCATCGGGCATGTTACCTTCTTCTTTAAAACGAGAGAACATATCGATTGCGCCTTCCCCTTGCCCATTGTTTGCAAAACACCTTATAATAGCGCACCAACTCCCCGAATTCTTCCCGGGCATACTGTTGAAAACGGTAAATGCATCTTCCACAGACCCACAACCAGAGTACATTTCGATTATCGAGTTGTACACGCTGATATCTGAAAGGGAAACCGAAGAACTAATAAACCCATGAACATCTTTCCCTTCTTCTAAAGCTTTTGCATCCCCGCAAAGCTGTACTAGCCACAAAAGCCTTGGTAAATCCACAACATAACCCTCATTTCTCCACGATTTGATGATTTCAACAGCTGATTTCACCTTCCCTTCTCTGCAAATCGCATCGAATTCGTCCAACGAGCCATTACCACTACGCTCTTGCTCAAAATGATCTGTATCCAGCGCACTTCCCTGGTTATGAGATTGAACTTGCAAACCATTCGCGTAAGAACTCTCCCATGTCTGACTCTGTCCACCGTTGTAAGAATCCCAACTCTGACTCTGTGCATTCCAAGAGGTTTGGGAGTGAACAAAACCAGTATTCTCCTGTACAACTCCATTACCATTACCAAATGAAGAACCACCATCACTACTTTGCCAAATTTGATCTCTCTGGTTAAAAACCCCACTACTTTCCCCCTGATTGTATCCCTTGGAACAGTCTCGATAAAACCCATTTGAATTCTGACCAGAAACAGAGCCATATCCTGAGTTTAAGCTCTGCACATATGAATCCTGCTGAAACCCATCAAGTAATTGATCTCTACCGTTAAACCCATTTACATAGCTAGTCTGATAACAAGAACTATCTACCGGATTTCCGTAATTAGGGTTTACGAAACCCAATCTCTCCGCCGCTGTACTCAGATTTCTCAGGGAACCAAATGAAACACGAAATGAATAGCGGAGCTTACGGGTAGAGGTGAGAAGCGAAGCTCTCGTCGGGTATATCATTGACGGGGAGAGACGTTGATGATTGTCGCCGCCGGGGAAAAAGCAAGTTTATCGGAAATGGAATCCGAATCGCGGAATCGATCCGGTTTGGGTAGACAAAGACCAGCCTTTTATAATCTGTGACAAAGAAACTCCAAATGGTCAAAAATAGGTAAGAATTCGTCTCAAAAGCCAAAGCTTTGCTTTTTATTTTCAGATAAAGGGTCAACATGGTAACTGCGAAATCTTGCAGAATTACGAAATCATGCGGAATTACGAAATCTTGCGGAATTACGAAATTTTGCAGAATTTTTGATGATTTTTTGTGAATCCAGCGGAATAATTTCACGTTACAAATTTAATCAATTATGGAAATAATTTGGAGATGAAAACTAATATTTCTTAAATGAAAACTTACATAGACACGACCAACCAAATCTGTTAATTTTCCACAGATTATTGCTCCAAGGATTAGTCCCACCGTTGATATCGATCCAAAAAGTGAATACTGGAAAGAACAAGAAAACAAGAACAATTAAAATTGGGCTAATCCAAAATTAGGATTGGAAATTAGATATTTAGATTTGGAATTTAGAATTAGGATTGGAAATTAGATTTTTAGATATGAAATTTAGAATTAAGGTTGGAAATTAGAACTTGATAAAATTTAGTATATAAATATTTTATCATGATTATAATTAATATTATGGTTCAAAAATATTAATTTCTTTCAAACTTTTTAGAAATTTTTAATTACAGTTTAAATTTCGAATTTATAATTTTTATATTTATCAAATTAAAATTTAATTTTTAATTCTTATTTTAGATTTTTGTTTAGAATTATGAGGTGAATTTATTAATTTTTTAAAAATAATTTGAATTAGTTTGAGGTTCGGGTTTAAATTAGCCAATGTTAAAAAATCAGGTCCAAAAAGACCCGATGGCAATAGTTCTAGTCCAAAAAGGCCGTTCTTTTTGTCGACGTGTCGTCCATATTGTTAACGTTGACTAACGATAACTTGGTCAAGGTCTAAATCAACAATAAAATCGTATG